TGGCCGGTTTGTTTATCTGCTGTGTCCGTAGGTTGGGCGGATCGTGGCTCCCACTGCGGGAAGCGGCGCAGGCCGAGGGATGTGCTGGCCGCGGCTTCCCGCGGCCCCCATTGGCCAGGAGCGGCAAACCGCGGCCAGTGGCAGCCATGATCCGCCCAACCTGCAGACGCAGCAGGTAAACAAACCTGCCAGGCCCACCAGGGTACTTGCCCTGGCGAGCCACGTGCCAAAGGTTGCCGACCCCTGGTTTAGAAGATGCATCAGCTGACTGTGATCTGACAAACTCAACACATACGACAATATCACTCTTGAGGCATAGAGACTTGCCTATATGCTGCAAGGCCAGGGCCAAATGAAAGTATCTGCACCAAGTTTTCCCATAAAGGAATCCTGTCCACGTTATCACTAGATAGGGACTTCATTTACCGTCAGCTGAACAGGCTGTGCTTTACTGTAAGTGCATCACCCAGAGGGAACTGGGATGACTCACTGGTAACAATATTTTAATACAGCATTTAGGATGGGCAGCAGCTCCACACTGAGTCATATTAACCCATTCTGCTTCAAAGCTAAAAAAAGTTTGCAGCTGACAAGCTCTGAGGCAAAGGATTTGACATGAACTCCTCTGGGGCTCTGTGAATCTTCTTTGTCCTAGTGATCTTTAAAGTCACTTCACCATGAACATCTCAATTCCCAGGGCATGGTCCAATGCTTAAGATATGAAATGAACAGGAAAGACTACAAACAGTCACTTGGCAATAGCAAATAATACATAAATGGAGCGTGAGAAGTAAATACAACTGCCATCTCAAGCTGTGCTGGAGTTTAAAGATTCTGAGGAGGGCCTCGCCATCCTTCTAGTAGCCCCAGATGTAGGGTCAGCCTTTCTTTCTTTCTGAAGACAGCAGCTGTTCTACTGATTCTAGTGGAGGAAACCTCTCTGGAGCTAGGCTACTGAGGAGGTCCCCAGCAGGCTGGCTGAGGTTGCAGCCAATAATAATATTACAGTACAATGTGGTGAGTTTGTTTTTCACAAGGTTCTCCTAGCTAGGCGCATAACTCAGAATTAATGGAATGCAACAATTAATTTCACTTGTCAAGCCAGCGTTACCATGTCTTCTGTGCTGAACGGGGTGTTGCATCACACTGTGGCTTAGTTTAGGAAGAAATTCTTAAGAAAGTTTAGTATGAAAAAGGCATGAATAGATCTTGGTTGCTGGCTTCAGGTTGGTATACCAGGTATCTGAGTGGGGTATTCTTACTTCTGATGTTTTTCTATTAATCAAATTGGTATCTGCTAACTCAGCTTGGTGGGTCAGTGTTGTTGTTGTGATTTTCTAGGTACCTAAAAGTAAGGCTCAGCATTGCAACGCTGAAGTCCCTTTGTGGATTCCACCCTAAGAATTTATGTTGAGGCTTCGATGATCCGTTCTCACAGTGCCCTGTGCTGCTGGAAGAATCGCTTCCTTAGTACTACTGAACACTGTATTCCTAAGACACCGTATCAACAAAACTCTCCACAAAAGAGACTTAAGACATCACATAGAGAGAGGCACTAATTACAGGAGCACTATGCGTAAACTAGCGACAATTTCCCAGACGGAGGACACCGTTTATTTTGAACACCAGTGGCAGTCTCTGGGATTGTGATAACCTAGCTTCACCACTCACCTGTGCAATTCTTCTCTCTGCCACCTGGGAGCATAACTGCCACAGAGCAGACAATGGACTGGTTCCTTCTCTCCTGTCTTTAGCACATGCTTACATTCTTTTTCCTTTTGGCCCAGACTACACCTCATGTCAAGGGACAAAAATTACCTACGTTCCACACAACCTGGGTGTTTCCTCACGCTAACTGTTCAAAACGATTTATGTCAGAAGTAAAGGATCATGAAACTAAGACTATGGAAAGAGTTGTGTCTGCTAGTAAAAGAATGAATCACACAACATTTCAAGTGTCCTGCATGAATCGTTATTTTTGCCCCTCATTTGGGCCTTGGCAGCTCTGTGAAATATGAATGTGAACAAGACCAAGTCCAGCCTGTGCAGTAATGCCTCTTTGCAATACTGTTTTCTGATGCGAAACATCAAGCAAACCAATGTACCAGTGTATTTGTTTTCTGCTGTTAAAAGTTTTTCTTATGTTTTTAATATATCTATTTGGAAAGATCTGTACTGCATCCACCCCATTAATATGAAATTGCATTCCCTTAAATTGATCTATTCTTATTGTTGATTACTCTGGACTAAAAATATAAACCTACTATATAAAGTCGAAAGGCCAAGTACCACTAAGTTTTAATTCAGTTTCTGTCTTCTGTGTTGTTTAACCATCTTAAAATGCTGTGATTTAGTGTGGTACATATTTCCTTCCAAAGAGATGCTATTTCAGTATTTTCAAGGCCTACTTTATTACTTGTCTCTATGTACCTATCGGAAGGTATCTAATTTCTTTCAGGTACTGCACAATTTATGATTTGAGCATAAGGTGGAATTCCCCCCCCCACACACACACACACTCTTAAAGGCTTGGGCTAATTTTGCCCTGAGCCCAAGATCAGTGACATTGATATTCACCATTAAATGTCAAAATAAAATAAATAAAAAATCCAGTCTCATTAAAACCATTTGATCTCTAAGAACTAATTTTAGTACTTGAAAGACCAGTTCACATCTTGGGGTCATATTTATTTTATTAGATGATTTTTTCCTGGTGAGATCAGTTAATGGAGCAGCCAAAGTTGCAAAATGTGGAATAAATTTTCAATAATATTCCACAATACCCAGAAAAGATCACACCTGTCACTTAGTAGTTAGTAATGGGTACATTTTAATAGCCTCTACTTTTACATATCTCTGATTTCATAACTCCCTTACTCCTACTACATGTCCCCAAATACATATCTGGTTTCCTGCTTTCCTACTGAGCACTTTGGGGAGTTAAAAGTTAACTCCGCTTCCTTGAGTTGCTGAAAGATTGGTTTCAGGTGCTGTAGGGGTTCTTCCCAGGCATTACTATAAATCAAGACATCATCCAAATAGGTCACTGCATACTCTAAATGTTTGCATAGCAGTAGGTCAGTTACTTGCTAGAACACTAAGGAGTCCCATACAACCCACACAAGCCATAACCTGATAGTGAACCACCCAATTAGTGTTGAAAATTCTGCTGTGGGTTTAGAAGATTCAGTTATATGTATCTGCCAATACCTGTTACATACAGCCAAACAGTTTTCTTTACATCATGCCTAACATCAGTTAGTACCCCACTCATCCATGCAGCTTGTTGAAATAATGTGTTAACACTGGGATCTACAGCTTGTAAAACACTAACTGATCTACTCCCCAGTCCCTGCTTGGCCCTCTTACTGAAATCTTGTTCTTAAACTACACAGAGTGTTTGATCAGGATCTAGTCCCCCGAGCCCACTGGCATGCTGCTTGTGTTTTTTTTTAGTCAATCTTTCTTTATACATAATCAGCACACATTGCCCTGAGGTATGTCTTCTAGGTGCTCTGGTTAAATGCCTGGAGGAACTGGGTACTATTATAAGCTCAAAAACAACAAGGAGTCTGGTGGCACCTTAAAGACTAACAGATTTATTTGGGCATAAGCTTTCGTGAGTAAAAACCTCACTTCTTCGGATGCATAGGCATTATTATAAGCTGTGCACCTGATCCTTATCCCACTGAAGTCAGCTGGAGTTTTGCCACTGACTTCAATGGCAGCAGGCACTGAAATCTTTCACAGGAGAATCTCCTTCGATTCCCAAATAGGAGAGCTTTTGGACCCTGGTTTCCACTCCCAGTAGGGAGAGGCTCTTCATATTGGGTCCAACCTGGGATTTAGCTCCATTGCCTTCTCACATTTGTGACACCCCATGAAAGGAAGAAGACTCAGAAATATCTAGAAGCAGTGACAGGTCTGCAGAGTGGGTTAATAAGACAATGAAAGCCTACAACAATAGTTGGTGCAATGTTTCTAACTTGATACCCCATTAGAGAACCTCAGGTGGAGGTGGTTGTTTTATGAAATTGGAGAACACTGGAACTATCTTATCTTCTGCAGTTTCACCTGAGTTTAGTTGTACTAATTTCTTACAGTTAATAAACTTAGTTATTTTTCTAACTTTTCCCCAGATTCTTTCCTTTCTTAATGACAGATTCTTCAGCCCTTACTCACATTGAGTAGTGCTTACTCATGCAAAAAGTCCCACTGAGGTCAATAGGACTTCTTGGATGAGTAAGTGACAGTCAGTGCAAGGAGTGCAGAATGTACTTGCTAATACTGTGTAGCGAGTGCTGGACAGGTACACAAGTCACACACATGGTCATTGTGTGCTCACAGCCCTGAGCTGTGCTACAATGTTGAAAATGCAAGATGCATTCACCTTTATGAGGGTAGAAGATTGCTAGAGATTTTTTTTTTTAGAGCTACTGTCACTGATAACTGAGGAGCTAATGCAGAATCTCTCCTAGCTCAAGAGGCAGAGCTATCCCACTTAGATTTAAGAATACTTGAATCAGGTTTGAGTAGAGGCAAACTCTTAAGAGCAGTAACATAAGGAGCAATTCTTCTCCCATTTGAATTAATGGGAGTCTTGTCATTGATTTCAGTGTGAGGAGGATCAAAGCCATATGTTGTAGACTTCCCCTGTACTGTAACATGGCTTCAAAATGGATACATTTTGGCTCCACATCACATCACAAAGTAATTTAGCTCTAGGAAAGGAAGGAGAGTCAAATGAGGAGGCGGAGGAAGGTCCTTGCCTGGAGCTTTGGAGACCTGGGTTTACTTCCTTGCTGTGCCACAGCCTTCTTGTGTGACCTTGGATGTGTTACTTAACCTCTCAATTCCCTATCTGTTACGTGTGGGGTATAGCACTGCCTTACGTCACAGAGGTGTTGTGAGGATGAACCCATTAAATATGGGTGCCCAGGTGGTTCAGTGATGGGGGCCATATAAATGCCTAGAACACTGATAACCACCAAAAGTATACTGTGAAGTATATAACAAATTTCCGTCACATCATCCAAGAAGCAGCTTTCTCTTTGGGGGCGGGGGAGAGACTTTCTAATCCCTAAAAAGAACTTCTGATATCAGAGCAATTATTTTTTCCCTACAAAGCCCACAAGATATTATAAAAAGGTTATGTTAGTTTGATAACTCCTAGACAAATAATACATGTATGTACACTGGGCATGTTAGCATTTCTGGATGTCTGAAAGTTGTCTGTGCATTAGTGCACACCAGCTGGGATGTAAATTCAAGTGCACTCCAGCGTGTCACATGCTGACTGTCTGTGTGACCCCTACTGGCATGTCCTGAAAGTTCCCCAATGTGCAGTGACATGGTGCTGTTGGGACTCTGTCAATGCGCACTAGGGAACTTTTATTGTGAGCCAGCAGGGTCCACATGGACAGTTAGTGCCCGATGCACTAGAAGTTACACGCTAACTAGTGTGCAGGAACACGCCATGTAGACAAGCCCTCGTTAGTGTAGTATATTCCAATCATACGAAAAGCTGATCAGCTTCACTTTAAGCTTTACTTTTACTTCCCTTCTTCACTTCCTTATTTGTGAAGATTCATCCATGATTAAAACTAGTCCTTTCTTTTACAACTTGCAATCACGGTTGCTTCTTTGCACTGGATTTCACTTTACCACACATTCTGCAGGATTCACTTTGCCACATGTCCCTTTGCCAGGCTTCCCTCCACAAATGTACAGTGGATATGGCTGTGGAAGCAAGGAGGGTCCTGGGGAACTAAAGTCATTTAATTACACCCCTCTGGCAAGAGACAGCAGTGCCTAGAGGCCCAAACAAGAGTGAGGCACCATTGTGCTAGGAGCTGTACAAACACATAGCAAGAGATAGTCCCTGACCTGAAGAATTTAGTCTAAATGTACAAGATAGACAAAGAGTGGCAGGGGAAACAGAGGCTCTGAGGAGGGAAGTGACTTGTTCACCAGTCACATAGCAAATCAGTCTTTTATTTTAGAATAGCAAAAAGTGTCCACACCCTGAACACCCTGCTAAGGATTTAAAGTTACCAAACCAAATGTGCGGTTCCATCAGCTCACCACTGCTATCAATCATAATGAAAAACCAATGGCCTCTTACATTGGCCTAGCAGAGTCTTCTGAATCCCAATCCAGGGCCCTAGCCACTGGACCACACCGCTCATGTTCAGCAAATGAAAACTACGTGAGACCACTGCAGCTTAAGATCAAATTAAATCTGTGTTGACCGATTCATTGTTTTCAGTTCACTTCACGTTCTTCTGGTATCACAAAGCAGCATATATGCTAGCCAAGCATTTGTCAGATAGAGAAGTAATTGAAAGTTTGACTTTTTATTCCTCTTACCATGTCACTGAAAAAGTTTTCTTTCCAGCTGGAGCAGCCTTCCAGGGGTCTGAAGCGGTAGAAGCGATACAGTGGATGGGCAAAAGTTTCCTGATGTCTTAAGCAATTCCCTTTAACATTATGCATAGAAAACTAAGGGTTTAGCCCCATGCAATGCCAGAAAAAATCTCCCCCCTTTAGATGTATAATATTTGCCCAGCTTTAGTTCACTGCCACCCAAGTTCACCCTAGTGCTGAAAAACACCTAAAATTTTATGTCTCTGAAAAACTTGTGAAGGTTTTGGCTCAAAGACCGGATGGGGGGGAAAGTACATTTATTCGTGGTTTATTGCCCTTAGGAAAACATACTTTAGTTATGAAGTATTCCCTCCTGAAAACTTACTTGACATTTTGTCAAGAAATAGTAACATTTTTAAAAAGTTGGCCAAGCTACCTAATACCATAGCTGTAAAGCAAAGACATGTAGAAATATTAATACGTGGACAGGGATAACTACCTTGATTGTCTTTATTTTATCCCGTAAAACATCTTTACTGACTAAGGGACTGATCCCGCAAAGACTTACACACAAAGCAGATTTACCCTAATAAGAAATGTTCCTCCTGTGCAGAAGGCTTTGTGGCCACAGGGCCATAGTTTGATAGTTCTGCCTAGCCAAGTAGCTGTTTGAGAAAGCTTGAGAGGAATAAAAAGAAGCAAAGGTGGGTTTGAGATTTGTAGTTAATGTTTTCATAAAATGATGCCAAAGAAACTCTATCAGCTTCTTTGAGGGTCAAACATGGCTTTTACACCCACCTGTGCAATCCACTTCAATGGAGAGGCATGAGAGCAGAGTTTAGCCCTGTGTCTTCAAGGTTTCAAAGGAGCTCAGCTTTCATCTATGTTCAGGGACTGCAAGCAATTCCAAAAGTTCTCTGTCTTGTGCACCAGGTT